AAATTGGAAAGGAAGAAGTACAACTGTCCCCGTTTGCAGATGGTATGATCTTATGTGTACAAAACCCTAAAGATTCCACAAAAAACTGTTAGAGCTGATAAATGAAGTCAGCAGGATACAAACTCATCATACAAAAATCAGATGCTGGGGCCGGCCCAGTGGCGCAAGTGGTTAAGTGCATGCGCTCTGCTTCGGGGGCCCAAGGTTCACAGGCTTGATTCCCGGGCACGCAGAGATGCACCACTTGTCAAGCCATGCTGTGGCGGCGTCTCATATAAAGTAGAGCAAGATGGGCACGGATGTTAGCCCAGGGCCAGTCTTCCTCAGGAAAAAAAGAGGAGGATTGGCAACGGATGTTAACTCCAGACTGATCTTCCTCACACACACACAAAAAAATCAGATGCATTTCTATACACCAACAATGAGCAATCTGAAAAGGAAATTACAAAAACAATTCCATGTATGATAGCAACAAAAAGAATACAATACTTATGAATTAACTTAACCAAGAAGATAAGACTTGTACAATGAAAACTACAAAACATTGCTGAAAGAAATTAAAGAAGACATAAATAAGTGGAAACACATCTCATGTTCATGGATTGGAAGACTTAACATTATTAAAGTGTCAATATTACCCAAAGCGATCTACAGATTCAATGCAATGCCTATTAAAATCCCAATGAGGTTTTTTGCAGGAATAGAAAAACTCATCCTAAAATTCATATGGAATCTCAAGGGACCCCAAATAGCCAAAACAATCTTGAAAAAGAATGAAACCAGAGGAGTCACACTTCCTGTTTCAAAACTTATTTCAAAGCTTTGGTCATCAAAACAGTGTGGTATTGGCATAAAGACAGACATACAGATCAATGGAATAGAATAGAGAACCCAGAAATAAACCCTTGCATATATGGTCAAATGATTTTTGACATGCATGCCAATACCATTTAAATGCTGCTGGGAAAAGTGGATATCCACATGCAAAAGAACAAAGCTGGACCCTTACCTAACATCATATACAAAAATTAACTCCAAGTGGATCAAACGTCTAAATATAAAACCTAAAACAATAAAATTCTTGGAAGAAAACACAGGACAAAAGCATACAACATTGAATTTGGCAATGATTTCTTGGATCTGACACCAAAGGCACAGGTAACAAAAGAAAAAATAGACAAATTAGACTTAAAATTTTTTAAATTGTACATCAAGAGATACTATCAATAGAGTAAAAAGGCAACCAAGAGATTGGGAGAAAATATTTGCTAATCATATATCTTGTGAGATTAGTAAAAGAAACCTCAACTAAATTGAAGTCAGAAAGGCCTATAGGGAGAGCTCTCACACCCTATCACATCTCATCAACTACTCCAACCAGGAAGAGAGCTACATTTATATCTCCAAAAGGAAGGTGTTTTCTACTTTACTACCCAGCAGGAGGAAGATTTCTCTCCCCACCCAGCAACAGCCCAGCCATGGAGAGACTATAGCAACCCAACCAATGAGAAGCCTCTACACTTTGGACTCCCAGTTTCCTCCAATGGATTCTTTGTTTATTACAGCCCATCTCAACTCTATTCTTTCTTCTATAAAAGCAAGCCCCTTCTTTTGTTTCTCTGGATTTGCCTATGGTCTGCTATAGCCTGTATATCTTGAATTGCAATTCTTTTGGTGGTTTCCGAATAAACTCATTCTGCAGATAAAACAACTGGCCAGTTTACTTTTTAAGTTGACAATCCGATAGGGATTAATATCCAAAACACATAGAGAACTCCTAAAATTCAACCATAAAAATCCAAACAATGTGATTCAAAAATGGGCAAAAAAGTTGTATAGACATTTCTCCAAAGAAGATATACAAATGGCCAATAAGAACATGAAACAATGCTCATCACTAATCATTAGGGAAATGCAAAACAAAACCACAATGTGATCCTCACACCCATTAGGATGGCTAATCAAAAAAGAAAAAAAAACAGAAAACAAGTGTTGGTGAGGATGTGGAGAATCTGGAACTCTTGTGGACTGTTGGTGGGAATGTAAAATGGTGCCACCACCGTGGAAAACAGTATGGGGTTCCCCCCAAAATTAAAAATACAATTACCATAGGATCTGGCAATTCCACTTCTTGATATATATCCAAAAGAATGGAAAGCAGGGTCTCAGATATTTGTACACTCGTGTTCATGCCAGCATTATTCACAATAGCTAAAACGTGGAAGCAACCCAAGCATCCATCGATGGATGAACGGATAATCAAAATGCTGTAGTCATCTGTCGGTATCCACGGGGGACTGGTTCCATGATTCCCCACAGACACCAAAATCTGTGGATGCTCAAGTCCCTATATATAAGATGGTGTGGTATTTGCCTATTACCTACACATACCCTCCCGTATACTTTAAATCATCTCTAGATTACTTATAATACCTAACAATGGAAATGCTATGTAAATAGTTGTTATACTGTATCATTTAAGGAATAATGACAAGAAAAAAAGTCTGTACATGTTCAGTACAGATGTAACCATCATCGGCCTTTCAATCCATGGCTGGTTGAATCCACGGCTGCAGAAACCACGGATATGGAGGGCCAACTGTATATACATACAATGGAATATTATTCAGCCTGAAAAAGGAAGGAAATTCTGCAATATGCTACAACATGGATGAACCTTAGGATATTATGCTAAGTGAAATAAGCCAGTCATAAAAAGACAAATATGTATGATTCCATTTACATGAGGTACCTAGAGAAGTCAAATTCATAGAGACAGAAAGTAGAATGGTGGTTGCCAGTGACTAAGGGGAGTGGGGAATGGGAAGTTATTGTTTAATGGATATAGGGTCGCAGTTTTACAAGATGAAAAGAGTTATGGAGATGGATGGTGGTGACAGCTCACAACATTATGAATGTACATAATACCAATGACCTGTCCACTTAAAAACGGTTAAGATGGAAAATTTTATGTTACAGTCATGTGCTGCATAACAACAGTGGTCCATAAAATTAGTATCATATAGCCTATGTGTGTAATAGGCTATACCATCGAGGTTTGTGTAAGTACACTCGATGGTACTGACACAATGACAAAATCGCCTAACAACACATTTCTCAGAATGCATCCCCGTCATTAGGTGATGCATGATTGTATACGTATTTTACCATAATTAAAAAAAAAAAAAAAACTTGATGGCGCTGGCCCAGTGGCGTAGTGGTTAAGTTTGCGTGTATCGCTTCAACAGCCTGGGGTTCGTCTGTTCGGATCCTGGGTGGAGACCTACGCACAGCTCATCAAGCCATGCTGAGGTGGTGTCCCACACAGAGCAACTGGAAGGATGTACAACTATGACATACAACTATCTACTAGGGCTTTGGGGAGAAAAAAGGAAAAAAGGAAGAAGATTGGCAACAGATGTTAGCTCAGGGGCTAGTCTTCCTCAAAAGTACCAAACCAAACCAAAGCAAACCTCGGTCAACAGGTCCCAATCTTCCTTCTCCACCATAATGAAAAGAAACTTCACATTGAATCCAAACGCCTCGGACTAACATTTAAAGTCTTCCACAATCTGAACTCTTCCAACTTCCCCAACTTGATCCTTGAGGAGGCCCAGATTACATGACTAGTCTACACAATATCCTGGGCTCATGGTGACATCTTGTGGCCAGTAAAGAAATTATTTTTCCCCACAGTATGATACGTTGCTTCCCAAACTTTCTAGTGTGCAAAAAATCGTCCGGGGGTCTTGTTACAACACAGATTCTGACTCAACAGGTTCGGGAGGGGCTGAAATCTGCATTTCTATCCAACTCCCAAGTGATGCTAATGCTTCCAATCTGTGGAGCACCCCTGGGGTAGCAAGGGTCTCTAACACATTCAGGCCTTCGCTTGTGGAGGAACACATCTGCTCCCTGTTCCCCTGCCTCCCTCTCCCTCTCACTAGTCACAGAATCCTCTACCTTCATGATCCCATCTAACATGCATGCAAACATTTTCTTTAGAACTCCTCCTCCTTCCCATTTTCTACCAACTCTTGTCCAGGTAGTTCAGGAAAATCTCATTTCTCTCCGCACCTATGTCAAATGAATCTTGACTGAAAAAATGAAGATAGTTTCTGCTTTCAAGCAGCCTGCAATACGTACATAACTGACTGCGGTAGACCTTTTCTCTCCTTCTTCTGTTAAGCAAATGCCCAGGCTGTGAAGTTAGATTCTTGGGTTCCAATCCAGCTCCGACACCTCTTTTCTCTGAGACCTTGGGAAAGCAACTTAACTTCTCTAAGCCTGTTTCCTTAACTGTAAAACGGGGTAACAGCAGCACCTACGTCAGAGGGCTGTACGAGGTAGTAAAGGAGAGAATGCACACCAGGGCCTTCGCATTTCTCAGTCCGGGACGAGCACGCAGCGCACAGGCCGCGGCTCTTGCACCAGGCCGCCCCGCTCCTGCGGTGGCTCCCGCCTGTCGGCGCGGGCTCCGCTCTCCTCGGGAACCGGGGGCCGACTCCCTCACGGCGGGGCTCCCGCCTGCAGGCTTTGACAACCACCTGCCCAGCTTCTGCCGAATTTCCCCACAGCCTACAGCAGCCGTCTTTCTTTTCATCGACTTCCTTTTTTACCTAAACTATTTCTCAAAGGAAACTTCGTAGCACTCCCACAAACGAAAAATCACTATCACTCGCCACAGTCAGGTGACCCGTAACGACAAATACTAGGAACCAAGCAGTTACTGAATCCCACCCACGCCTGCAGCCCCCCATGCACGCTCGTGACGGAGACACGACTCGCCTCGACGGCTTCAGCCGAGAACGAGAGTGGAGGAACCTCCCCACGGCCGCGACCACGGCGGTTACCACTCGGCGCCGCGCTGACGAGGGGCCCGCGCGGGCCCCACACTCGCGGCCCCGCCTCACGGACGGACGCGGTCCCGGCCACGCGCGCGCCCCGGTAAGGTCTGTGGGGAGGCTCCCCCACCGCCCAGGCCTCAGGGGTCCACTTACTGCCCTCCGGCGGCGTCCTCCGCGGGCGCCGGCGGCTCCTCGCACGCCCGCCTCAGGGCCGCGATCTCGGCCTCCAGGGCGCGGACCTCCGCCAGCCCGGCGTCCATGGCGCGGCGCTGACGGGAGCGGCACTGACAGATGGGCGGCCCGGCGCTGACTGCAGCGGCCCTGACCGAGGGCGGCACGGCGCTTCAAGCCTCGCGCGCTACCGGCGCGGACCATCCCGGGGCGCGGCGGGGGAGGCGGGGAGGGCGCCCCCCGCCCCGGGCGCACACCCCGCGTTCGCACGGCGTCCCGAACCCCCTGCCGTCCTTGCGCGCGTGGCCACAGCTGTCCCCCAGCAGCCCCCACGCGTCGAGAGAGCCGGTTTACTCCAACCCGGAGCCCAGGGGGCGGCCGCCCACCCCGCGCTGCTGGCGCTTTGGAGCAGTCCGGATGTGACGTCACGAAGAGGCGGTTGCGGGACCACGCGAACCCGGAGCCTCTATTTTTTTTCGCAGCCTGTCTTCCGCCGCCCTAGACTGGGGGTCGACGAACTCGAGTCGATAACCCTCTGTGGGACCAATGAGGGAGTTTTGGCTTGCGATGTTTTGCGGACGTTGAGGGCAGGGTGGCGGGGGCATCGCGGTGTCCCAGAGGACGGGAAACGCGATAAAGCGCACAGGGGAACGGCGTGTGGTGACGGAACCCCGGGAGTCGGGGTTGGAAATCGAGTAGGAAGGCAGAGAGGCCGCACCTCGCGGGACACGTGACTGGAAACTGGGGCCGCGGCGGCGCTGGCTGTGGACGGGACGTGGTGAGGAGCGTGTGTGGGCGGGGAAGGGGCAGGGCTGTTCGGCCCACCGTCTCCCTCGTCTTGGGTCCGCGGTGGGCAGGTGGCGGGACGGGGAGGCCGCCAGGAAGATGCGGGCGGTGGCTCACGGGCCGAGCTCTGGGCTTCCGGGACGCGTAGGGTCACGCGCCGAGTCGGTCAGCTCTCGGGCACGCGCAGGGCGGGTCAGTGCCTGCGGGTGCCACGCGAGGGGAGGGGCTCGCGCCGGCCGCAGGTCTCAGCCCCTCTGGGGCAGTCTTCCTGCGTCCCTTCCGGTCCCCCAGGCTCCCCCGTTTGGTGTTAGGCCTGGGCTCTGGTGCTGGCCTCACCGCTGCTTCTCCGAAAGCGCTGGGAAGTGCCTTAACCTCTCCTGCCCGTCTGCGGCGTGAGGCGCGTCGAGCCGCGCCGCGCAGCGAGGCCGGCACGTAGTGCGGCGCGGGCCTGCGTCAGCTGTGCTCTCAGGCGCTCTCGCGCCCGAACGGCGCTCTGCAGACGCTTCTGTCGTGACGTAGTCTTGTCACGTAGTGTTGCAGCGTTCGCTTACTTCTGCGATGTGAGGAGCTGCGGGGTGGAGCTGTTTTTCTGTCCTTTAGCATGGTAACCTGCCACGTCCGGTTTCTGTCAGCGTTTGTTAAAGTGAGGAAATGAGTGTGAGAGTAAAGCAAGAACACCTGACCACGTGGATGAGTACGTGAGGCAGGGTAGAGGATGATCCTGTGGTCGCTGGAGGGACGCATCTGCCTGTGCCTGTGTCTGCGTGAGTGTAGAGGTGCTGTTCCAAGGTGCTTGGAGAATGTGCATGTGGGGCTAGGGCTTGACCGGAATCTGCAGGGATAAAATTTAGGAGCAATACAATAGGAGGTGAAGCACAGGTCCAGGCGACCAATTTGCCATAGAAGGTTCTGGGAAAGGAGTTGGGGTTTTTTTTTAGATTTGAGAAAAACTAAGGGAAAGAACTCTTCCCTGTACATAGAAAATTATTTTTCCCGCTAGAACACACTGAGTGTATGCCCCAGCCTTCATGAAAGCCAACAGAGAAACGAAGCGCCTTTTTGTGGGTGGCCTTGGCCGGAACATTTCGGAGGCAGACCTACAAAATCAGTTCAGCAGATTTGGAGAAGTTTCTGATGTGGAGATCATCACACGGAAAGATGAACAAGGTAAATTCGTAGTCCTTCCTACGTAAAGGCACAGTAACTCAGGTCAAGTATCCCAAAGTAAAGAAACCCCAGAGATGAATGTTAGCCCTGAACGCTGAAAGTGGTATGTGTTTCACTACAGGACGCTGTAGCGTGTACTTCGCCCCATGCCCTGGAGGTGTGAGGTATGATGTGGAACTTGCCCAGAATTATGTTTGTGAAATCAAAAAAATTCTAAATTCCAAAATATCCGATTTCTAAGATGTGTAACTTTTAGTTTTCAGAGTTAACATTCTAATATTCATTAAACTTCCTATGAAGTAGAGTATCAGTAACTTACAGTCAAAATGTTTCCTTAACTGACTAGACGTTTTTTTCTTATCCGTTTTCTTTTGGAATATTTTGATTATCATGCTCGAAAAATGCAACCTCTGGGGGCTGGCCCGGTGGCGCAAGCGGTGTGCGCGCGCCCGACTGCGGCGGCCCGGGGTTCGGCGGTTCGGATCCCGGGCGCACACCCGACGCACCGCTTGTTAGGCCACGCTGTAGGGGCGTCCCATATAAAGTGGAGGAAGATGGGCACAGATCTTAGCCTACAGCCAGTCTTCCTCAGCAAAAAGAGGAGAATTCATAGATGTTAGCTCAGGGCCGATCTTCCTCACAAAAAAAAAGAAGAAAAAAAGAAAAACGCAATCTTTGTATCCAGTGAAAAATAAACAAGGTTTTTCTTTGAAAGAGTAAGTTTCCAAGACCTCTTTTTTAAATTTAGAAACTTAATAATTTTTACATTCTCTGGGTGAGTTTAAATAAATTTCTTTTCCTTTTTTTTTTTTTTTTTAGGAAACCCACAGAAAGTCTTCGCGTATATCAACATCAGAGTAACAGAAACAGACCTGAAAAAATGTAAGATCGTCATATATTTTCTGTACTATTTGCCAGTTCATGTCTCTGTGTAACTTGCAATAACTTCATTCTAATTGGAACCTCAAAAGCCACTTTAAATCATCCAGAGGGGGGGCCGGCCCGTGGCTTAGCGGTTGGGTGCGTGCGCTCTGCTGCTGGCGGCCCGGGTTCGGATCCCGGGCGCGCACCGACGCGCCGCTTCTCCGGCCATGCTGAGGCCGCGTCCCACGTGCAGCACCTAGAGGGATGTGCACCTATGACATGCAGCTGTCTACTGGGGCTTTGGGGGAAAAATAAATAAAAAAAAAAAAAAAAAAAAAATTAAATCATCCAGAGGGTCAACCATGATCCATGATCAAGAGAATTTCGATATTCTACAACTCAGCAGGTTTAGGTTCATACCATTTGGTGTCAACAGACATATCATAGCACATTGCTAGTGCGTTTTCTCAAAAATGGTATTCTCAAATATTTTGGACAAGAGACCAAACTTTCATAGAAATGCCTGTTACACGTATCCCATTAGATATTATGCCACATCTACCCCTTCCCAGTGTGTTCATTTCTTCTTTTTTTTGTGTGTGTGAGGAAGACTAGCCCTGAGCTAACATCCAATGCCAGTCCTCCTCGTTTTTGTTGAGGAAGACTGGCCCTGGGCTAACATCCATGCCCATCTTCCTCTACTTTTTTTTAATATGGGACGCCGCCACAACATGGCTTAACAAGCAGTGCGTCGGTATGTGCCCGGGATTCAAACCTGAGAACCCCGGGCCACCGCAGCAGAATGCGTGCACTTAACTGCTGCACCGTGGGGCTGGCCCCGAGTGTGTTCATTTCTTGGGCAGCTAGTTGTTATTGTTAAATGCTGTTAGGAAAAGACTTAGAGTATACCGTTATAAGACTATATCCTTGGGGCCGGCCCCGGGGGCACAAGTGGTTGGGTGTGTGCGCTTCGCTGCAGCGGCCCAGGGTTCGCTGGTTCAGACCCCGGGCGTGCACCGATGCGCTGCTTGGCACGCCATGCTGTGGCGGTGTCCCATATAAAGAGGAGGAAGATGGGCACGGAAGTTAGTCCAGGGCCAGTCTTCCTCGGCAAAAAAAGAGGAGGATTGGCAGAGGTTAGCTCGAGGCCGATCTTCCTCACAAAAAAAAAAAAAGACTATATTCTTGAAGTTATGAAATCTCTATTGATAAGTTTAGTAAAGCTGAGGGCGAATTGAGGGCCCTCATTGAAGAAGGAAGGGAAGATAATCCATACTGCCACTGATGCAGTAATGTTTTCTAATTATTTGGAGGCTGAAAAGTCAGAAGATTCTGAAAAGGGAAGATGCTAATAGAGAAATAGGGCCATCAACCTTTTGCAAATTCGTTTGCAAAAGAATTAATTTATTCTGTTGTTCAGTGAGAAAATAGATATGACAGATAAGTTGTGGTTAAGAATACATCAGCTCTAATGTGTGATCTGTGGCAAGTTATTTAAACTTTGCTTGCCTCATATATTATTGTGAAGATTAAATTGAACAACACCTGTACACTTAGCATAGTATCTCTAATAGAAACTTCTATTGGAGGGGCGGGGTAGGCGGCATGGAGGCACTCACTCATCCCCATGGCTGCCGCACCAGAGCCCGGTGAGCCCACCAAGGAGAAGGTTGAATTAGAAGATCCTGTGATGTTGGAGTAGGAGGATTTATCTTGGTGACTTTAGGATGCTGGTTCCATTGTAGGTATAATTATGCAAAGCTAAGAATCCAGGAAAGAATTGGCAGAGAAGGAATTAAAATAAGATTTTATGTGAAAAAAGCTGCCTTGATCCTGAAAGAAAACAAACCAATAGCAACAGCAGCAACTGAGCCGAGTCTTGATCGTAGAAAATCAAATACAACTCACTGGAGTCAGTGTGAACAAAGCTGAAACCACCTGTATAAAACATTGTATATACCATAAGGCTTTCAATCAAGTAAACAAAGTATGTGTGAGTCATTAAAAAAAAAACTTCTATCGATTCGTGGTTGTTATTAAGGAAGCTGATAGCAGATATTGAGAAAAATCAACTCCTAGGGCATAGCAGTTCAAACACGGTTTAGTTGCCTGCAGCTAATGTGTTTGCAAGTTACACAGTGATAATTCGTATAAGGTGATAAATTAAAGTGAGGTGCTACAGGATTCCACAGCGTCCTCTGATTCGCCTTAGAAAGATAACGTTAATGTTGTATAGTTTTAGTGTGGAAAATGACAATGAAATGTTAAATAAATGTCAGCCATTCA